TACCACTACGAGAAATAAGTCTACCACATATTATAAATCTACCACTACTATAAATAAGTTTACCATTGTGCGAACCATTAATAAATGTACCAACCACTTAATAAATCTACCAATCGCAAATAAATCTACCATCACATGAACGGTAGATTTATTCGCTGCCTCATTAATGGCAGTTTCGTAAATACGTTTTTTCGTTGCAAAGGAAATAGGCTAAAACGGGTATTAATAGTTTTTCAAAGTTGTTTGAATAATTTTCAAAAAATAACATCATTTTAGTCATGAATCAATTTTTTAAGGTTTTTAGTAAAGCTAAAAAAATAAAAATCATGAAGCCTCACTAAAACTAGAGTTCGTGAATGATTTCCATTTTTTTTTTTTATCAATATGACCTGATGCACGATGATCCCAAACATAAAAATGTGCTGTGTTAGACCTCGTCACGATAAAAGGCACTCACATTTTGAGATGCTGAACAAATGATGTCAAGGTTACGACCACTAAGGCCACCTCCATCAATAGTCTCTTAAAGAGTATCTCAAAATACAATTAAACAAATAAATACTATTAAAATATTAGATGGACTTCTCAAAAGTAAGATTTTGGTGTTAAATTTCTCAACTGAAAAACTTTGGAGTGAATTTCTAAATTTTTGAGAGATTCTCCTAATATTTTAATTTTATTATTGTTTGAAATACTCATTAAAAAGCTATTAATAGAGATGGTTTAACAAGAGTTTCTAGTCAGGGACCCACACAAGCTAACCCTAGCCGAAATTGAACTACATTTTTTGTTTTGTTTTTGGCATCTATATTGATAATATTGCTTAAAGACATTACAAAGAATATCAAAGCCGGAGCAGGACTACATATTTTCATATATGTTAAATTTTATTGGTTTTATTATTTATTTTTTATATTTTTAATAAAGGACTATTTGGTTTTGGGATTTAATTGTTGTTGTTAGTGTTTCAGTGGGGTTTGAAGTTTTTAGTGAAAATTGGAGCAATTCAGACCTAATTTTAAAGATTGGAAATGTCAAATGAAAATCTTCCCACTGTTGTATCAAGCTTATATTTTACCACGAGATATGTCAGGGTTTTACCTTCAAATAGAATATTCGATCGGTAAAATCCAAGGGTTCGAACACAAGATATGCTCAATGTATTGAAAGTTAATCAAGGAAGGTTCAGGTATAAGTAAGCAATCGACCGATCACCCTCCAGGAGTACGATCGGTCACTCATCCGCTGTTTTGGCCGAAAAAATCAATTTATCAAGGTAATCGATCGATCAAATGAGGTGATTGAGCGATCACCAGAAACCAGTTTGACTTAGCGTAATTCTTAATTCGTATTTCTATTGTGTGTTCGAAGTCTCACTGGAATCAATACATCATGTAATACAATCGATTTAGTGTGTACTTGCATTTTTGATATTGTTAGGATTGAGTAAAACTTAATTTTTAAGACATCACACAACCATCCTTCTAATAACTTTTTTTTTTAAATCTAAATAACTATAATTAGCTTAAGAATTCTTGAAGAGCCTTACTCTAATATAGAGCAGCACAAAACATACAAGCTTTCAAACTATACATTTCTTCATCCAAAAAACTTTTAACTAGCCAAAAAATTGCTAAGTAATCAAAGAGAGAGGATGATACATTCTCATAATAAAAAGATGTGTTGTAGCCTGTGTAGCCAAGAAGGATGTTCACGAAACACATAAAAATGCACTCTAGAATCTCTAGAAGCAGTAGTCACTATTGATTTTTTTTTGTTTTCATATGATGCTATTAATAAACCAAGATTTGAAACTACATAAAGCACTAAAGAAAATTTTTCGAAGACAAAAGCCGACAGATAAATAATAATTTCCAAAACCAAAAATCGACGGTAAACAAAAAATCCCTAAAACAATAGTCTTGTCTAAGGAAAACTTGCGAACTAACATCACATAAAGAACTAAAAGCTAAGGAAACGAAAATAGCTAGGCAAAACAAAACTTGAAACCAAGCATGAACTTAGTCACAAACACCTCATTCAACACGCCTTCTAAATTTCCTTAAGGACCTTGGACGAATATTTACCGAAGAAGCCAGACACTGAGAACAACCTCTTATGATGAATAAAATATATCTCTAAAAATTATAATCTTAAACTTTACACCCTGACAAAACAGTAGCATATATTGTACCACAAGAAACAATCCAAAGACAGTGAAATTGAAAAACTAGATGACGCATCGATAGAAATTATGTAACCGATCAGATTCCGAACCGGTCTATTGATTTC